TTGTCCTCCTCAGAGTGCACTGGCTTCAGCAGAATTACAACTTGCATGATTTTAGCTGATAGACTCTACTGCAGATACATAACCTAAAGAAGTAACATATTTCTGGCAATACATGATAAAAAAGCACTTGGCAAAGGTCAACTTTTCAGATGTCTTGTGGAAATCTCATTAAGTACAGTCTTCTGATAGGTCCTCTTCTTCTGCCTCAGTGTCTGTACCAATTGTCCTGAATTTCTGATTGAAGTTTGGCATCTCAGTGACTTTTTAAACAAGTTAGAAGGTTCCAGTATAATTAAAATAACCTCAAAGTCAAATTTAGCAGGTGAAAATTTTGATAAAACTCTTTGAATTAACTCTCTTGTATGAAAGTAAAACAATCTTTAAATTATCAGTCCTTCTGAATGTAGCTAAGGCTGCTAAGATTTGAGTCAATGTCAGGCAAATTCCTAAATCTTTGAACAAAAAAAGCCCCGCTGAAGCAATTATTCTGTATTAATGGGAACTATGCCAAAATGAAACCGTTCTGAAAGCAGGGCCTATCTTTTCAGTTTTCCATTTAAATCTGAACTTTCCTGCCATTTCAGCATTCCGTTTTAAAGCCTAATTTTTGTCTGCAGTGATGACTTCTTGTTAAGTTGCTGTTGAAAGTCTAGGTCAGTGCACATGTTAGAAGAGTGCAGGTACAGAGATCAGAAATAAAAGTAGATGACCCAAAAGTTGTGATGAACTCTAGCTCAATGCTGAGGTAAAACTTAATGACTGCCAGCACTGTTGCTGCCTTCAAACTCCAGAAATTAAGGTGAGCCACTGCAAATAGAGAAACGTTAATATTTATGTGGTGATGCTTTGTTTGATCATCAAGCCAGTTTTCAGCTGACAGACTGCTATAAAATAAAAAGATGGACAGCAATTTAAAAAATAAATTAAATTTAGCTGTGTATTAGATATGAATCAGCTACAGAGTGAGATGACAAGCTCATTCTCTGTCCTGCTGGAGGTGCTTCTACAGGGAAGCAGAGTACTCCATGACCTTGAGGTTTCTTTCAGAGCACATTTGCTTTCCTTGCATGCTGGCTGGCTCTTAAAATCTGCATTACATTTCCCCTTTAGGAAGGAGTACGTTACAGAGACTCTTCATTCATGTTTGAGAAGAGTCTGTGTGCCTATTTTCTGATCTTGTACTTGTTCAGGATGTTTGATCCCAGATACCAGCATTACAGAGGTCCCTGCAACCTCTGCTGCATTGCAAAGGTCTTGGATTGAGGAGGCTGAGCAGTAAGGAACATATCGGCTCCAAAGAGCTGAGTTCCATGGAGCATTGCAGGGGTTAAACTGGCTGGCATCCTCTGTGCTCGTGTACAGAAGGATTTGTGTCCTGTGAGCTTTTGGTCAGCAGGAGCCTGCAGGATGCTCTTACCCTCTTCAATAAACTTCAGTCACTTGTGTTGCACTGAACTGAGAAGGAAAGCCCTGCAAATCTGAAACCTAGAAGTAACTCCAGATATAGTTGGGACAGCTGAATGTCAGATGAGTGCCCCAGGGGAGGCAGCACTCTGTGCATTCTCTGAGTGGAGCACCCTCAGCCTAGGTCACAGAGTATATCTCCCAAGATACCAAAGGAAAAAAGTATGGAGTCCATCCAAAGGCAAGTAGATGGTAAATGTTTACAAGGATTACAAAAAATGGATCAGCCTACCAGATGTTGGAGGATACAAGTATTTAATCTATAGGAGAAAAAAAAAGCAGGAAATCTTATGTTTCTGGAAACCTGCTGTCTTGGTATTCCAAGAACGGAGACTTCACAAACCAACTGCTGTCCACTGATCCAGCTTCAGTCTCAGCCTTATTGAGGAGTATGAAATATAGGAACAGTCTACCAATATGCTGGTAATTTAACTGATAGATGCTAAGCACTTTTTTCCTTCCTGCCTGAGCTTTACTCAAATTCTTCCATTAAAATATATAACTGAGTACCTAGACAGTTGCATTTTGATTTGCATCTATTGCCAACCCAATATATCTTTCAGATAAGCCTTTTCATGCATTACTTTTAATAATAATGTCTTAAATTAAAAGGCTGCTTCCATCAGCATAATGAAGCAAGATAGCCAAGAAAATAGCTATGTGCCTGAGAACAGAAATTCATTAAAGTAAGAAAAAAATCCATGAAACAGGGATGATAATGAGAAAAATACTGAGCCTCAAAGATGACAATACTGAAAGAAGAGACTGCATTTAGAGCTTACTTACTGGATGGGAGGGGCTGTTTTCCCTTTCCAGAGGTCTTGCCTTTTTTTTTTTTTTTCATTCTGACAAATCACTAAAATTTTGGCAACTCAGTTACTTTTAAATTGCCATAGGCATATGGTTGTTTACTAGCACAAAACCTGTGCCTGACAGTGATATCAGGGATAATCCTTTATGCTACTTATGTAAAAGTTAGTTTTAATTATTTCCCTTCTTCAAATACTAAGAAACATGCAACTTAATAATGACAAACACCAAAGCTGCTCAAAGAAGGCAATTTATTGTAATCAAGATATGCTTTCTAATTACCCTCTTGGTCTCTTTTAAGTTGCAGATTGTGCTACTTATATTTATCTTAGAAATGTGTTGTCCTCATAAAATCCTTTTTTAAAAAGAAATATTTGAAAAGGTGCTGAAAAATATTTTTACCTTCTCCAGAGTACAAGGAACTTGCATAGTGAGTGCTAATGAGACACGTGCTTGCCTTTGAATTGCATTCCCTCTCCCTCTCATCGTTATTTCTTATCTTCAGCCAGCCAAGGCAGCATCGAACAAGAAAAGCAGTGCCCATCTGAGTCCTGTCTGCTGAGCTGTGCTGCTGCTCCTGGCAGGCTGTGGGCAGCCAGGGACACACAGAGGATTCACAGGAGGAGCTGACACCCTGCACACATCCAGCCTCAGACAGGTGTTACACACCTGCTCTCTGCTTCCCGTGACTGTGCAAAGACAAAAGGTTCTGCCCGGGACAGAACAACCCTGCTCTGCTGGAGCACAGGTGGCATGAAAGCGGTTTGTGTGACACAAGGTGCTAGAAAATGTTTGGCTCACTAACATGTGCTGTCAAGACCTGTTTTCTTCAAGCTGCCAGCCTGTCATTGTCTTTTGGAAACCAGCATGCAGCCAGGAAATACATTTCCATTAGAAACAGAAGCCCTGTTTATACTTCACTTTCATTTTCTCCTACCAGGTAATTTCTCTCTCTAATGTCACCACAGGTATTTTAGTAGAATTAAGGAACAGCCAAAATTTCTCTCTTATTACATAAAAAACAGTAACAACAAGAGAGAAAATAGGTTTTAAAAATGACAAGAGTAAAGGAAGGAGAAGCTTTCAAATCAAGCATTCCCCACACCTGAATGTGCTGAACTTTCCAGATACAGTATAAAAGTCTTCCTTTACTCTTTTAAGTGTACAGATGGCAGCTGGAGGAATTCCTGGCCAAGGTAAAATCCAACTTAGCAGTATGAAATAATAAAAGTTTGGGAACTTTGTCTTTCTGTATATATTCTTCATGGCAGTAGCATAGGCTTGTAAAGGCTGAAACTGGCCCTTATTTTGACCTATTTTTCACTAAAATCTGTATGTTTCATTATCACTACCATGAACCAACTGCGTGACTTTAGTCCATTTTACAGCTACCCAGTGACATTTTTTATTTGATCTGTTATTACAAATGCAGCAACCTTGTCTTTACTCTCGCTGTAAGACTTTTAAAGTGCAATTTGCTGTGTCTTTCAGAATGTGGACACAATCCTGACACGGCAGGGGTCAGAACTTGTGTAGATATACATCAGGGTAAGGAGAGCTGAACATGGGAAAACATCAGCCTTAAGGGTCTTTTTCTTCCTCTAGCAAAAAAAGCAATGTTATTAAGTTAAGACCTTAGATTAATTAAGACCTTAGAAAGTCTCTGAATGTTGAATGGTGACACATGACTCTACTCTGTCTCAACATGTGGAATTTTCAGGTTCACTTATGAACAATCATATTTCATGCTCATTTGCTCAGGCAGTTAAATGATTGCTGAATATTTACTTTGTTTATTTTCGCTGTATTATTCACATGTGTCAGTGTTAAATGACAATTTTTTCTCCTGATACTGTTGCTGGAAGTTTTATTTTTGTATTCAAACCAATTGTCCTTTCTGAAATGTTAAAATGTTATCAATGTTAAGCTGTTGCATTTAAATGACTACTCAAAACAAGGATTTTGAGATTTCATCTTTTTTGTTAAAAATCTACAATTGGGCTATGGAAGAAGTCACTTGGTAAAACTGCACAAGACAAAACCATAAAACCATAAAATCAAGCATACAGTGGCTAATGCAAAAACTGAGGAAAGTCTTCTCACAAAATATCTTTGTGCTGCTGGGCTTTCCATCTTCAAAATGTCTTGCAAAGGTTAAGTCCTTAAAATATATCTGTGCAATGAAGCATTATATTGGCACCATTGTTTTTTTCCCCTCAGTTAAAGTAGATGTTGAGTGTTTAAATGTCCAAGGCTGTGGAGAAGGTTGCTCAGATCCAGGACTGCAGACTAAGCTGCTTCTGCAGTGCCTGAATTTCTCAGACTGGGCTGGATATTCTTCATTTATTCAGCCACCCTTCTGTCAGCCACTGCTCTCCTTTTCTCAACTGATTGTCCTCTTTGACATCTTTTCCTGGCTGGTCTGCAGTTTTCCACTGCACTGAGTGTGCTCAGATTGCCCCATTAAGCCTCCAGTAACCCCACAGGTCAACCCTCACTTGGCTGCATTTCCCTGCTCCCGGGAGGATTTTTGCAGTGCAGACTTTTCTCTCCTCCTGTACTGCTTTAAGGAAAGGTCATTCTGGTAGAGGTCAGCAAAACCCTGTATTCAACCTGCTTTGCAGAATCCCTATGGAAGACCCGACCGAATGAATTTGATCACTAAAGCAGGTACACCATGAACACATGTATAAAGTCTCTTTGTGTGAGGGTGAAAAGCAACTCACCATCTCCTGTGTCAGGAATCACCTTGGAAAAGCTGCCTCTGGGAATAGGACTGGTAGTAGGAATTAAATCAGCCTTAGCAACACAGGATACTGCCAAAAACCTGCAAGAAAGCAAAAAACACATAATATAGGCTCTGTAAATGATGAGGAATGATGTCTACTTCAGAGGAAGGAAAAGATTTTTCAGAAAGGCCTAAGCTGTAATTTTCAAGATCTCTTCAAATAACCATGAATGATTGTTTAAAAGCTTAGCAGTGCCAGGAACTCCCCCTGCTCAGAGCTCACATATGCTGGTGATGACAGAAATACTTTGTAAGGAGCTAATGACCAGCAAGGACCTTGCAGGATTGGGCACTCTAGAAATCGACTCCACTTGAGGAGCTCCAGAAATCGAAAGGCCTGACTTGTACCTTCCTGAAGATAAATGAGCAGGTAAAGGAAAGGGGGAAGGAAGCTTGTGCTGTTTAGCCAAACCAGCAGTTTTAGTGTTTCTCAAGCTTTTAGCACCCGAGTGGATCTGTCAGGTGCTAATTGTCAACTCCCACTGACTGCAGTAGGAGCCCAGGCACTTGGCTTTTTGCAGTATTAACCTGCTGTTATTAAGCTAAAGAGATGACCATGGCAGAGTATGTGATGTTTGAACTGCAAGGCATTGTGTCTTGCTTTCTCCCAACTTTAATATATTTTTTTTTTTCCCCCAGTTAGCAGTGTCTTACGGCAAGCAACTGCCTAAAGAGGAAACATAATGCAAAAGAATATGCACTGTGAAAAGTCTGCACTGTGAAGTGCAGAAATATATCATTCTACCAAGAGTAGGCTGATTTAATTTTAAATATAAAATCTCTAAATAGCTAATGTGCTTAAAATGTAGAAAATCAGATAACAAAAGCAGTTCTTGTTTCAAAGGAAAACTGCAGTCAGTGAGAAAAATGATAAAAAAGAAGACATAGTGACAAAAGAAATAAGGCACTACCATTAAATTCCTGGGGAAAAAAAAAAAA